CAATCATCGCAGTCTTATGTAGTTCAGTTAGAGAAATTCATACATATGCATTTAATTAACCTTCATATTCTTCTTCTTCTTATTTGGCGCTGCAACCGCCTTAGCGATTTTGGCCGATCTCAACAAAGCACGCCAGTCGTTTCTCTTCTGTACCAACTGAGTTGATGCATGCACTTTATCAACTCCTCTCCGCCGTCCTTGAATAGCTCAGCTGGCAGGCTGTCAGCTCCAGCAGCTTTGTTGTTTTTCAAGCGCGCAATTGCTACCTCGTTAGCCTGCATATACTCTTCCCATAATTAATTATTAAGACCGCTGGGTCCCAAATTTGCCAGGCCTGATTTCATAGAAATTCTAAAAGTATTTTCTATTACTATGGCAATATATTTGTCGCAGACATGTAGACCCCTATTATGAGTTGCATTCGGTCTTCGACTGTGGTCGAAAGTGCTGATCGAACGAATTTTCATTTGGTATTATTAGACTCATTCCATGAAGAATATCGCTATTGTGAATTTAGCTCGTTTAGGTTGTTCACAACGTTTCAACGCTGAGACGTTTTGGTTACAAATCGCGCAAACTAAATAATGTGCTTACACATATTTATGTAAATTTGTGCAAAATAAAATGGAGTATAAAATAAAGCGAGTTTATAAAAACTTGATAAAAATGAGTACAGCGGAGTTCTGGTACGACGATTCGTCAGAGGATGAGAGCTTAGTAAACTGGCCAGGAGTAGGAAACGTTTAAGTGTCGTCTTTCGAATATATTTTGACATACAATATATTTAGGAAATTCGTTTACAGATTTATGAAAACCTTCCGACTGTCTAAGGAGGGGTTTGTGGCCCTTCTGTCCGCTGTGCTGCACCAATACTCTCGAGCCAAATCTATTTAAAATATTTGAAAACTATCAACAGCTCTACGATATTATTCTCACTGATCGTGCCAACAGAGTATTGGGATTTTCTTTCATAAGTGGAACCAGCCTTTCGAGCTTGTTTTAAATATTCACGACGTTCGACCTGCGTGCAATTAGTGAATAATTTTTTAAAAGCAAGAAATCAAACGCAAAATCATACGTTTTTCACAATTAAGGTATGTATGTCTTCCATGCCACTGATTGTTCACATATGAGTTATTTTATATAATTTCTCTATGTATGCAGTGAAGGTAAAACTTTTGTTTAGCCCCCAAACAACTAATCTCAAATGCAGTAATAGCCGAAGACAACACTGTTCGTACTTGTTTTTTTTTTGAACATGGACTATTTGTGGAACGTACTGATTGTAGAACTCAGTTTTTTGGTATACAGAAGTGCCTCCTACATTCCCGGCCTGATATTGAATATATTATTATTAGTCACAGAAAAAGTGAGCAGTAAAAAAATGTAAGACAAATAATTTTACAGGGGATCAACTTAAGAAACAATTTGGAAGTGATGCTATGAAAAGATAAACCCAGAAAAAAATCAGCTAAATATATTTTTCTTAACACATAATTTGGTTATAGTACATTATTTAGTTAAAGTTAACAAATCATGTGTTCAGAAAAATATTTTTAGCTGACTTTTTTCTGGGTGTATGAAGAAGGGTAAAGAAAAGACAAAAGACGTAAATCGATTTGCGACTACACCAAATACGCACATACTCTGATGAACTAATAATTCTAGAATTTGTGTATACACGTTAATCTCACATCCGAATTATTTAAGCAAACTTAACATATAATAAAATGTTTAATAAATCTTAAGAATTACAGATCTGTAGGTAGTATATATAGGTACAAAAAATATTGCGCAAATAAGCATTTAATTCTTAAGATTTGATTTGAGGATAACAATCAATTGAAAGACTTTTAATTGCAATTAAATCAATGATGCAGGGGTAAAAAATGTTTTCCCATTTTAAGAATACAGGCTTATCGACGTTTTCACGATTTGTAATTCGCTCTCTAAGTAATTCGTGAACAACCCTGTTTCCACGAATATTCGTAATCCTTTTGGCAACTTTACTTCTTGTTCTTGTTCCTCGCTATTTATTATTATTTTTGTTTACTGCAAGTACTGAAGATGGAGAGGAAATGTAAGTTATCATCAAACATTTTAATTTATATAGACAATAATTTATTAATTACTATTTCATTAATTACGGCAATAATTCGTCTTCCTTTTTTATTATTTTGTTTTTGCAGTCAAATTTCGATATATTTCCGATAAACATTAGAGAAGACACCGATTCGTTCGTCGTTCGCATGGTAATTCTACAAATGAGGTAATTCGCTGACAAAATTGTGTATGGCGAATTACGTAAGTCCAAGGTAGTTGGATGGCGAATGACGAATAGGAGAGCGAATTACGAATGTGAGGGCGAATTAAGAATCTTGGAAACGTTGTATTAGGTTAAATAATATAAGGTGTAGACAAAATGCAGATACTTTTATGTGCCGTACATGCATATGTACATATACATACATATATGTTTAGTATATACATATGTATGTATGTACATTCATATGTGTGTGCGTATGCACACTTGAACATGTATATATTCAAAGCTTTGTTATTGTTTAGTTTCGAGTGTTCTTAGGTTATTCTCTCTGAGAAACGATATACGTACTTACATATTTTAATCATTGTTATAAATAGGTATGTAAAATTCGCAAAAACTTTTGTACACTCAAAGTGATTTCATAAAACACTTATTATGATACATAAATAACGCTCGTATCTTTTTACGGAAAAAACAGTATATTACTATTCTTTTATTGTACACCCCGAGACAAAATGATATGTAAAACAAAAGCCATGTAAATCCAAATTTCTCACTTTATACAAAAATTGGAATTCAAAAACGTGGCATATTCTAGTTTAAAGTGTCGACATAATACCGTTGATTTTTGATTTTGTTTTTACAGCGTCACAATTACTTTTGTATGCGTTCGACAATTTCTTTTGTATGCTTTCATACAAAGTTACTATGTTAGACAATTTCTTTTATATGGAAGAAAATAATAACACCGTCTGCAAAAAAAAATAATCAAAAATCAACGAGAATTCTTAGCCTATTGAAACTTGCACCTTAATAAGCTACCAAACTACCTACTTGCAATTTTTTTAATTATTATATAATTAACCAGACTTTAATAAAAAAGTATTAAACATTAAACAACCGAAAAGAAAATAATCAAAACTGGTCAAGATGTCATGTCCCTATTGTTTTACATAATAGTATATATGTATGCATACATAAGCATTTTTAAAAACGTGTTTCCGCGAAAACTGTGTATTAAAAAATTTAGACAGAAAAAAAATATAAATGCAGCATTTTGGAAAAAACCGCAGTATCCATTTTTGGAATCCAAAAAAAGTATTATACCTCGAAAGAAAGTATAGATACGAGCGTTATACATAGAATATAAAATTCTATTGAGCTAAATTTTATCAATTAAAATCGAAATGAAAAATTTTTAAAAGGTACATACATAAACGAAGTATGCTCTTAAGTATAATTAGTGTAAGAAATATAAAAGCCCAGTTAAATTGAGAATTATTATGATAGCTGTTTCAAGGCAAATGGAAATCCAACACCTTGCAATATTCATTTGCGAAGTGTTTAGCTTAAATTTTCTCTTTAATTGCAAAAGAAATATCAAAATTTTACAGAAATAAATTGCACAAAATATACTATAATTGTCACAGGTGAAATTAAACACTTTGCTAATGAATATTGCTAGCCTCTTTCAACTTTTCAAGTTGGTTCGTCTTTGTCTATCTTCTAATGCCGGGTTAAACTTTTTGAAAATTACTCGTTTATAATAATTATTTTATAACTATTAAAATCCCGACAATTTAGATTGAGCACAATTTACCTCACTCTCTGCTTAAGAAATATAGATTGCCCAAAGTATCTTATAGGTAAGATTTTCATAATAATGCAAATATTTATCTACTATTTTAATAGAATTTTCAGTTTAAAGTAATCGCAATATAGTAACACAATTGTAAGCTTAATTCTACGAACAAACTATATAGCTCTTATTAAGTAGAATAAGTTCATGATTTGAAATGGGTTAATGTTTGTGTGATATCTGTGTAATTATGTATGTATTTATACCTGTTTAACTATTTGTAATTATATAGTACTTATGTAAGTATGTCAATATAGACAATATGAATATTTGTTTATAAGGATGTTGTGTTACAGGTCAATCATACCGTTAAATGCCCATCTGTATTAGAAATACAGGCTTTTCTTACAACAACGCAATCGCCACAAACATTTCACCATTAAAAAAAAAATACTTATCTGTATTTTATTTCAACTACAGTCCCGGATTGAAGAACTGGTATACACCACCAGTAGCAGGGGGGCGTGTGAGAGCACGCTTGGCGGCAGTCGCCACATTAGTTTCGTGTTGGAAAGCGTTATCATATGATCGCTTCATAGAATGAGACAACGAAGTGGCCGCTGTCAATGCCGAGCTAGGCAAAATGCCCGCAGCTGCCGCCGGCATGGCTGCACCACACACACCGGCTGCAGTTGCTGCATATTGATAGCCCTGTGGGATATAGCCGATCGGAAACGGTTGAAAGGAAAAGTGGCGTGGCATAAGCACAAATTGAGGCTGGTTGCCAGCGGCACCAGCGGAGGCAACATTTGGTGAGGCAACATTCGTTGCCCCTCCAGAAGATGGATGCTGAAACAGCAATGGGCTCATGAAGTTGGCATACAGCTGTTGTTGTTGTTGTTCGGCGGCCACAGCCGCAGCCTGCTGACGCGCTATTAAACTTTGTTGTGCAATAAATTGTGCCTGTTGCTGAGCAATGAGTGCGGGATTTGCAGCCATACTCATCTGAGGTGGAGGAAGAGAAAAATTGAAAGGAAATGGAGCCATAGCTTGAGATTGTGCGCTAACGGCTGTGGAAGCGCTCGAAGGCATTTGCAAAGTTGAGGCTTGAGGTGTACCTAAACTACCAACAGTAACAGCATTTTGAGCGGCAGCAGCAGCTGCAACGGCGGCGGCAGCATTTGATTGAGCTGCAATGCTCTGAGGCTGCGCGGAATTTGATGGAGCTCCGACCGTGGCCGCTATAAACGGCGATAAGCTACCTGCAGAGGCTGCTATAGCTGCCACAGACTGTGGATTCGTTGGAGGCAGAGCCACATGTTGTTGTTGCGATAGGGCGGCAACTGCTGCTGCCATTGATGGTGACGATTGCATTGCATGCGCATGTGTCATGTGGGCACTGTGCCCTTGGTTATGAGCGTGAGAATGAGTATGGCCCTGATTGTGGGCGTGAGCATGCGCATGAGAACTAATTGCTTGTGCGTTGGACGGCGACGGTTGAGGTAACATACCCGGTGAGAGAAGCGATGTCTGCTTAGCTGCAGCAGGATGATGAGGGTGAGGTGTTGTGGCAATGGGTGACTGCAGGCCACCATTCAACACCATATTCATGTCATCCCCGGAACACTGGAACACTTCGATGTAACGATACTTTTTACCAAACATCATAAATTGGTTATGTTTGCGCAGTGCGCATAGGCGAGCAGACTCTTCTGAGTCCATTTGAATGAAAGCCTCGCCACTGGGCTGTCCCTATGAAATACAAAGGATTTATAATTTGTTAAGCTTAATTAATATGTGAGAGCATCATAATAACCACAAATGTATACTTATAATGAAATATTTACTTGAGCATTAATGACCATGTGCACGCCCTGATATATAATATGTTTTGCAAAATCATCCAAGAAATGAAGAATGTGCTCTACTAGGGCTTCATAAGGTAGGCCTCGCAAACGGATACAGTTTTTGGTGGTACCTGAAGTAATCAAGTGCTGAAAAAATTTTTAAAAATATTCATTGATCAACCAATTTACATGCATTCTCATTGCAACTTTAAAACTAAATGAGTATCTGTCAATTTTATTGAGGCTTATTAATACTTTATTTTAATATTGTTATTGGGCTTTGTACCACGATTGTGTTTATTAGGAAAATAGAAAAGGCAACAAAGTCTAAGCGGTAGAAGTTATAGCAGCTATTTCGGAGATCACCACATCTCTTCATCAGACTTCTTTTTTTAGACTTCAGCAGGGATCGTACCCGCATCATCGATGTGCAAAGTCAGAAGCGCTAACGACTGAACTATGCACACTCCGCGTTTCTGACTTTGCACATCGATGATGCGGGTTCGATCCCTGTTGAAGTCTAGAAAAACAAGTCTGATGAGAAGATGTGGTGTTCTCCAAAATAACATCTTCCGCTTAGACTTTGTTGCTTTTTCCACTTTTCCTAATAAACATAATCGTGGTACAAAGCTCAATAATAATATTAAAACTAAATGAATACTTATCTTTAAACCAAAAGCTTATGAAATACTGGTGAGCTCGGCCAGGCTTCGCTGCGGCTCAGTCTGCTATGAAATCAATGGAAAAGTAAATAAAAGCATTCCAGTAAATAGCTTGGATAAGGAAGCACAGGGAATGGGTCTGGCGGTAAACGAGGACAGGACGAAGTATCTCCTGTCATCAAAAAAACAGTCAGCGCATTCCACGTCACCGCTGGCTTTGCGATGCCGTTCGAGTAGACACCGACGCTCCAGCTCTGCCTTCTTCGTGATTTAAATATAATTTTAAATCTTTGTTTGCTATGATTTTCGTATTTGCGTTATGGGGCTTTTATAAAAAAAAAAATTTAAAAATATGTAGCGGTGCACCGTGGTGGAGGAATGATACAATCCTGCTGAAACCAGGGGAGTTCCTTTCACGTTATCTTTACCTGTTTATGATATATTCTAGTCTCTTGAGTAATGCTGTTCTCGATCTCAGATTGCAGATTCCTCCTCGCTACATATGTATGTATAAAGTTGGGCGTCTCCTAAATTTTTGCAAAAGCCTTATAACGCGATGGACCAGCATTTGAAATTTTAGCGCAAATATTCGCAGCTGTATTGGCAGCCAAGATTAAAAAAGGCATTTTAATTTTGTTTTTGTTTTTCATACTAAACAATTTTTATTGAGCTTGAGGAGCAAATGTGGTGGAATATGGTTATGAGTTTGTATAATTGATTCAGAGGTCTTTTCTTTATATAAATTAAAATTAATCACAATGTTTAATATCGCCAAAAACAAACCTTTTTTAATAAATATTTTTTCCCCCCAAACTTGTTTTCATTTTTTTATTCCAAAACCAAAACTGGAACGAAACCGGAACCGAAACAAATTTGAAAGAACGAAACCAAAAACGAAACTGAAACACTTGGCAACACCGAAATCGAAACCGGAACGTTATTTTGAATCGGTTTAATTCCTTGAAAAAAAACTAAAGGTTTTGTTTTTCGTTAGATGGTTTTGAAATAAATATGCATTTGTTCCAATATAAACCTATTTTTTTATTCCTTTAGGTTACGCCTTTGGTTAATTTTGGTGTTCATAACTTGAGTCATTTTACTTACAAAACTTTTGCATGACATCCTTTTATTATACTACTTAGTATACTACACTGAAAACTATGTTATTTATACCAATTACGAAACAAGAAAAAACTAAATATGGTAGTCAGTGGATACATTCATAGAAAGGTAAAAGGTGCTGAAACTTTTACCTATTTTTGAATGTATAGTACGTATAAAATTCTTTTGTACATGTATTTGTGAGTGAACCGCCCTGCAGCGGAAATACTAGTACAGAACTAGTGAGTTCACCAGTTTTCGGGATTCGAATACCGGTACCTTGCAAATCTACCAGCCATGCTTTCTACTGTCGCATTTAACATGGAGTTGTCCTAAGTGGTGACACCTGCGTAACCTTTCACTAGTACTTTTAGTAGTAACATGTAACCAGTAACCGAACCACTTTTTTTCGTTGTGCACTTCACAGATACTTTTTCATAATTAAAAAAAAAAAACTGAAATAAAGATTTTAAATTACATGTTCTGCATAGTGAGATGAGATTTGAACTTGAACATTTTCGGCCGCAACTAATTGCAGCCAGCCCTTTGCGCACTCAGCTACAGGCACAACATATAAGTGTGCTTTCAAATGTTCGCTTTGAATCAAGCCAGGCGAAGATTTGTTCAAATTTAAATTTGTTTTTGCTATGATCTTCGCTATTTATTTTCCTGTGATCGAACGTACAAAAGCTGCAGCGTGACGTTGTTTGAAATTTTATTATTAGGCTGAACTGATTCTTGATATTTTTAACAAAATCGTCATTTAAACGCGCTATATCTCAGTCGTTTGTGTATCGATCGATTTGAAATTGTCACACAATAAACTACAAACTATCCCAAAGAATTTAAGTTTAACACCACTTCTCAATACTCATTACAAATAAAATTACAGGTTTATAACTTTTTTATGAGAATTAAGAGGGTGTTTGTTTTCAAATGCGAAAGTTGTGTTATTAAGTTTGAAATAAATTTTTTGTTTTAAAACAGTTTTAAAACTATGTAGCGAAGTTTTTGCGAAAGTTTCAGAATTAAACATCAAGTAGTTGCAAAGTTATAACAATATTATTATGACTCACACGGTTAGCAGATTAGCACGCTGCGCTCCAAAAGGCTTTATAACTCGGAAAAGTAAAAAAAAAGTCCTTTTTTATTCGTGATTTATATGTAAAAAGACTTGATCTTTCGATTGAGATAACTAAAAACAATATTAAAAATTACCATAATCTATAGAAATCATAGTTTTCGAATTATTTTTCCTATTTTATGTCTGCTTCGCAGCTAGTCGAGAAGTACAGTATATTTTGCTTTGCTGCCTTTATTCTTAAGTGCACATTTGAGATACCTTCCCCAAAATGCGCATCAGTGGCATTATTTTATTTATTTATATGGAAACTGCTCCGATAGATGCATTCAACATACCTGCACATTAGAGATACCTGCCTTAAAAATTGTGCAGCTGTTATCAATTGTCAAAGAAAGTATTACGTTTACCTGCACTGGCCATACACTTACCCTAATTTGACAAGCTTTTATTTATTTTTCTCATCTCGAAGAACAACGAAAACGGCTATAATTTTATGTAGGTCAATTTATTAATTAATTAATTTTTTTTTAATTTTTTATTTAGGCGGGTCAATTTTTTTTTCAACATCGTTCCTAGCAGATTCGGATTCTACATAAAATTCTAAGAAAAAAAGCCCTTTAGACCATAGCTCTAAAATCAATTTCGAGCCTGCGCAATTTTAAAAGAAAATATATTTAATTAATACTAAGTCCATAATCAGATTAATATATACTAAAGTGTTAGGAATGTTTTTTTTTATAATAAAGAGTTGTGCTCCAGAGTTTTATGATATGAAAAATTCATTTCTGATATCTATTTTTTATTTAAAGACCCGCAAGATGGCGCTTCAAAGCAAATCTCATATATATATGTGGGAGTATGTATGCATGTATGTGCCAGGTTGCAGCCTAAACGGATGGACAGAATCGAATAAAATTTTGCCAAAGTATTGCCATGACTCCTGGACCTATAGTAGGGTAAAAAAATTGGAACTCGCCAAGGGGGGAGGGGGATGGGGGATACCTCCCATAGTGAAAATTTTTAATCAGCTCTAACTTCGGAATTATAGTCGCATGAACTCGAAATTTGAAATGCACAGATACCTATGGTAGGTGCTTATGGAAAGTGATATGTATATAAATGAGTTTGTAAAAAGGGGCGTGACACATCTCATAGGTGTGGAGTCATTTATCAGCTATAACAGCAGGCAGTATTAATGATATCATTGCATTGCTTTTTGAAGATTTGTTATAATTGATCAAAGCGAAATTCAAATAAATTATAGATGATATGAAGTTCACCGGGTCATTTTCTAGTCTTTAATATATACTTATTAATATTTACTAAAGTGTTATGAACGTTATTTTTTTTAATACAATAAGAAAAAAATAACTATAATTTAAAGGAGTGACAAACAATGGCTAGAGTCGTCGCATGTGTGTATTCTTTCATATACATATATATGGGCTGTTCTTACCGTTATATATTTTTCATCCACTCGCTTATTCCTTACCTTTTTAAATAAAAATTCAACAAGTTTTAACCACTGGGTAAACTTAATAAACGAAATATATTCTCTGGTTAAATTAATAAGCCTGCCCAGATAACACAAAATCCTAAGCTTGATACACATTTGGTGTTATAAAAGTTTCATAAAGCTCTACTTGTAATTAGGAAAAATGCCGGAAAAAAAAATTATAAAATTGATTGATTGATTGATAAAAATAGAGAGGGAATTATGGTTTTGACAATAGAAAGTAGAAAAAAGATACCTCGTGTTGAAAGCAAAAAGGATCTAAAACCAAAAAAAAATATAAATACACTGTTAATCATAAAAAAATTTATGATTCGAAAAATTATTTTGAAATATTGTAAAACTTTATTTATTATTTTTTTGGTTTTTTAAAGCTAAAGTTTTATTTACTTACAGTAACGAGCAAAAGTATTGGCACAGTGAATTTTACGCAATATAGGCAAAGTATTTAGAAAAATTCCAGGTATGCAGTTTAATAATCCATTCAATTTTTGTTTATCAAAGTGCAAGTTTAAAGTTGCTTGAAAATCTGAATATAAAATTGCAAATTAGTATGCAGATTTATTGAATTTTCCTGAGTTTTTCACAAGGTTTACACATTTGATTCTTATGTAGTTTGGTGTAGTAAGAACTATGTTTTTATAAAAAAATATCAGAAATAAATTAAAAACTTTGCATACATGTAAGCGAAAATTTAGTGTGCCAAAACTTTTGTTCAACACTGTACATATAAAAAAATATATACAGTAACTTCTCCCGTTACAATAGTAAAAAATATGTAATTTGC